AAAAGTCTGCAGGCAGGAGGTTATTGCTATTATTATGATATGTGTAACTGTAATGGTAATCATAATATTTTCTTATGTGTAATGTCATGTCAAAATGTTCTTAGATACACCACTAATCAACAGCCACACACCTTGACTTTCTTCATGTTTTGACTATTGTTATGGTCAGCTGCAAAGCTGGCATATCAGGTGACGTCACGGTTTGACGTTCCTGTGTAGAATGGGCTAGCCCAACCAAGTGATAAAATTGTATAGGCATTATGGTTCAGGGTCTTTCATACTTCGTCTTCCTGCGTGCATGACATTGGTGGAAGAGATCTGGACATGTAATGTTAATTTTACCTGTGATTCTTTGAATAAACCAGCACGGTTATTTTTTATATATCCAAGTGGTCTACTTCGTCTTTGTGAGTTCCTGGTTTCAAAGAGCCGGAAGAAGCTTAAAAATAGCTTATACAGCATATGTAATTGTTGTTACTGAGCACGTTCCATTATATGGCACTAGACTGGTGCTGCCATTAAAAGTCAGGAGGGAAACAGAAAGGTAAAACTATGTAAAATAACAGATTGCTGCATTGCAGCTCTCTTCTCTTGTGCTGTGTGTGTGTGCTAAACCAGTGCTGCAATTTGACATCTGCTTTTTCCATATGTTTAAACTGTTACAGTGATCAGTCAGCAGGGAGAAACCAGATGTAGTGGCTATTTGTACAAATATATATGACCTCCCATATTGTGTGCCACTGAACAGGAATACCTAGAATACATATTGCAAACCAAACAAAGCTCTTCTTCCATATTAAATGCACAAAAATTGGTGCAGTCCATAAATAAGACAAAGACAATTTCGCCGTTTACAGCATAAAACAACAGATGCAAACCTTTAATAAATACCTCCCTAATGTGTAATAATTAATCCACCAACAAAACTATTTGTTGAAGCTGTAAGATTTGAGTCTTATAGACTCTGGGTTCTTTATCAGCTTTAGTTACTTCTCATACCTGTAGTTCCTTTTAGTTACCTTTCATAACTTTATCTTACTTGTTTATGCATATTACAGCTGTATTGATGATTGTCCCGAACTACTGAGCTTTGGTTATTTTAATGCATTTGTTTCCCTTGCTTATATATCTTAGAGCTGTAATGAAGCAGAATCTGCTTACTTTGAGTGCTGTAACTTGTGTGTAGAGACTAGATGTCTGCATCTCTTTGTGACCCGACAGCCTATTTACATGTTAGCAAAGGCCTGTTTTACACTCACACCTCGACCCACTTAGCATATTCCAATCTTTGCTTTGTCTTGGGATGTCCTGCAGAGGCCGGGGGCTACAACCTGAGAGACACACACACACACACACACACACATCTAGACTTTACCACATTTTAACAAGGGGGAGCTCCGGTTCACACCAAATGGACAATAGGAACAAAAACCTGTTGAATGTTGTACCTCTGTCCAGGGCGGAGCAGCCCAAGAAGATAAAATGTATTGTAAGAACTTAATTCGGGGTCAGTGGATGGAACTCCTGCGGGAGCTCTATCTCTCTGATCCCAGCACTGTAAGGCCTACCTGTGATCAGACATTCAGTAAACTTTCTGTTGATTGTAAACAGTCCTCTCCTGTCTTCACTTCTCGTGCTTCCAGCAAAAGAATCAGGTTATTTTCTAACAAATGGTGCCGCGACCCAGATGGAACAACTTCGAGCTAGTGCCCGACAGAGGACCGCGAAGCGAGATCCGTGGAGCCCTCTTCAGACAATCTACCGGCATTCATAAAAACAGGTAAGCAGAATAAAAAAATTCTGCACATTGGGCACTCTAAAACGCTGAATTGTCTGATTGAGGATCTTCCCCGATCGGTAAATTGTTTTAAAAGAGAAGTAAAAGCATGTTATCTTTGTCTGAAGCCTGATTACATGTCAAGTCTCAACCACATAGCCTCACGTGAGGGAGAGTTCATGAGTGTCCTAGTCTTAGATCGTTTGGCTTCATAAATGACGTAAAATCCATCATATGAATGGATAACCACTGAGGGTTGTCTTACAAAATTACTAGGATATAATATCTGCCGCTTGAGCATTCAGGGGAAACCCTGACGAGTGATGCTGCAGTATAAATAAAGCCTCCATAAGGACACGGACAAGTTTGTTATTTTTAATTATTGTGGGGTGGT